CTGCTTTTAACGCTAATGGATATGATATGCTTCTTAAACAGACTGTTAATTATACCCAGATCAAGAGTTGTTGGCTTTGTGGGACAGCAGATCAATTTGATGCATCGGTGTTAGGTATTCCTTTGAGCAACTGGACAGACCTGAATCCATATAGCCTACTCAATGCGTCATATCAATGTACGCAGGAGAATGCCACTATGGAAGGAACGCCTTTTACACTTCAATTGGTTAATAGCACAGTGCCTTATATTAATTCTAGCCTATCAGGCCTGAATCTAGTCACCTTCCAAAACAAAGAAGGCAATTGGACAGCCATAAACCTTAAGTTGAACCACAGTCTAGAAGAATCAAGTAGCTACTCTGTGGGAGTAGGAAACCAACAATAGGCTGACTATTGATGGGGAAGAGCCACCACGTATACATCTCTAAGAATAAACGCAACCTGCAACTTGCTGGGGGGTCACTGGTGGCTGTGTGGAGACCAAGTTGCCCAAAAACAGCTCCCAAGCAACTGGCCAGGAGAATGTACTATGGGAATTTTAGCTGCCCCACTAACAGTATTTAACCATTCAGACATGAGGGGAATAGTAAGGGGCCTTTGGGGAAAGTCTAGAACCAAACAAGAGACTAGTAATCCTTTAACAAGATATAATACCGGGTTCCACAGCTTTGTTAGGGTGCTTTTGCCAACCCTTGGCATTGTTCAGTTAGAGAGGGTGATTTTGAATATTTCAAGTGAAATGGAAGTCATCACTAACAGAACAGCAGAAGCAATCTTTGGGTTGCAAACAGAAGTGGATTCCCTGAAAAAGATAGTCTTACAAAATCCAAGGGCCCTTGATATCCTAACCGCACAGGCTGGAGGAGTATGTACCCTGATAAATGAAACGTTGCAGCTATATTGATCAGTCTGGCAAAATATTTACGGATGGCCAAAACATTTGGGATCATGCAAAGATTTTACATAAGGTTACAGAGGATAAGGGTCTGTCATGGTCAAACAATCTATTAAGTGGATGGGGAATTTTGGTATGCTTACAAACATTAATCAGAAGTGCAGGGATGGTGTTGTTGATTTTGTGTTGTATTCTATTAATTATGCCTTGCTTGTTGAAATGTGTGTCTAATGTGATCGAAAAAGCCTTAAAGAAGGTTTGGCTGGTTCAAGAACAAAAAGGGGAAATTGTGGAGTCTTACTTGGAGGACTATGGCCACCTGATGAACCAGCCATAGGAGAGTAAGCACATAGTGCAGGCCAAAAGGTCACCTTGAACCCACGGAATGAGGAAGTAAGAGGCAAAATGGGACCTAAGGGAAGATCGACGCGACCTGACAACAACCAATCAGAGAGAAGATGTAAACATGTGGACAGTGCATGAACAAAGGCTCTAGCCAATCAGGCGATGCAGGGACGTGTGCAGGGAAGGGAAAATTGTATTTAAGGGATGGCTTTATTTCAATAAACAGTTTTTTCAGTTTGCTTCACATTGGATTGTGCCTATCCCATGGTCTTTCTCTCCTCACTGTCCCAGGTTGCAAATAAACTTCCCACTGATCTCACTTTGGGGTTATGAAACACATTTGTGGACACTGTTCCTCTTTGCCAACATAGCATTGCAGCCTCCAGACAAAAATCCAAGTGACATGACTGAGTTTAGTAGTTCAGAAGAAACAGAAATCGACACGGAGAAAAGTGACCCAGTGCGGACAACCTGACCTCCCTTCACACCTGTGCATTTAACTGATTTTCACACTGAAATAGCAAAGGATTAACATAAGCTTTGTGGCTTAAATGTCAATAGGTGATAACACCTGGAAAGAGCTGCTGAGGAGGCAATGACTGGCAGAGAACCTGGAAGAACTCCAGTGTGTGAAACTACCCACTGGCCAAATTCCCACCTGGACCAGGCAGGCATATCCAATTTGTCAACAATGTCTGGCTGCTTCTTAGGAGCCGCTACTCCAGCTTAGCACAGCTGAGGTAAGGAAATTGTTCTAGCAGATAAAAGGGCGCCCTTGGTTTACATTGGGCAAGTTGCAACTGCTCATCCAACTCATGCGTCCAGCATCCTCCTGTCAGCAACCACCCTGCATGCCTCCCTGGGATCCCCATGCTGCCTGGAGTCCAAGTCTTCTATTAAATCTGTTCTGTTTAACCCCTCACAAATTTTGAGTGTCTCTCTCTGCCAGTATCCACTGCTTTCTTGCCTGCCTTCCTGTCACTGGAAGAAATGCCAACATTGTGTTAAGTCTTTCGTTATGCTCTTTTAACAAGCTCTTGCTAAATTTTATTCCCACGACATAACTCACTGTTGTTTTGATGATCCTGCAAGTTGGAAGGACAAAGATGACTACACAAACCCATATATATATATATGTGTGGGTGTGCACCCTGTGCATACATATAAACATATATATGTATATATGTGTGTGTGTGTTTTATCTAAAAAGATACACATTTTCTTTGGTCCTTAATCTTTTAGGACATAGTGTGTTTTAAATCAACATACCCAAATATTGTCTGGATGTTTTCTGATGGGAAAAAGAAGCTGAGTAAATTTGATCAGTGATTACAATGTATTTCATTGGAACTATAATTCCTACTTTTATCTTCGTGCTTTCTTCTTGCACGTATTTATAAAAACCTCCCTATTTTTTTTTCTTTCCTCTCCTCTCTGTTCTACACCCTCTCACACTTAAAACAGCCAAGGCTGTATAGAAAGACCCAGCACTCTGAAGAGTTTGACACACGTATTTACCTGTTGTAATCAAGCAGTGTTTCCTTCTGTCTATTAGGCATGTGATGAGACTCATCTTCAAAGAAGCCTCAATACTACTGAATGCATCACCTTTTATGATAGGATTTATATTGTCTGAAATACCAAAGATGCTTGTTTACTTCTCTGAATAGTCCCTATCCCTCACTTGCACTAGCACAGCTTTGAAATGAGTGTTGATATATATGATCTTGCATTTCTTGATTTAATGGTAACATGCTATTTGCTTGAAACTTTATCCTACCACACATCTGAGACTGTACCAGTCTCTGCAAAGCACTCTTGAATATTATAATTTGTTTCTGCAATGGTGAAAACTCCTCCTAAGAAAAATGATTGTCAGGTGCCCTATGTAGTTCTGCAACACCAAAACAATATATATAATATGTGTATACCTGTATACATTTATATATCATGACAGAGCACTTAGAACAACACAGTCACCACACAAGTGCAAGTGTGTTACACAGTTCACTGATACCAGTTGAGAAATCTGGGTATAAATTCAAGAGAAGTCTTCAGTGTGTAGAAAACAAAACAAAATCCTGCTTGCATGAATGAACACGGTGATGAACTTATTCAGTGGACTCTGGGCTCCATTCTGGATCCATGGCAGCAGGACCTATCGTGAGCCCTCAATACCCAACCCAGCATAAAGTGTGTTACACAGTTCACTGATACCAGTTGAGAAATCTGGGTATAAATTCAAGAGAAGTCTTCAGTGTGTAGAAAACAAAACAAAATCCTGCTTGCATGAATGAACACGGTGATGAACTTATTCAGTGGACTCTGGGCTCCATTCTGGATCCATGGCAGCAGGACCTATCGTGAGCCCTCAATACCCAACCCAGCATAGAGGCAGCTCAGGCTTCCCTGGAGAGCTTGAGCCCCATAGGGAGCAGCCCTGTTGTCTCCAGAGGCAAAGGCATCCTAACAGTCCATGTCACAGCCCAGTTCCTG